AATTACAATTGTCGGTACTTTTTATTTTTTTAACGCAATTAAATATAATAAACTTATGTACTGAAAATATAATTTAAAATGAAACAAAAAAATATGAAATATATAATAACCAATACATAAATAATAATAATATTTATATAAATAATATATATATAATACTAATATATAATATAAATGTATAACATATAACAAAATATATATAAATTTTTGAATATGTTTTAAAATATACACAGTAAGTCAATGAGATCCAAAAATTTTAAAGAAATATGAGTAAAAATTAATAGAAAAATAATGAAATTATTAATAAAAAGGAACTTAAAAGATATGATTTAAAATAAAGCATTATGTAGATTCATAAAATATACAAAAAGGCAACGAGATATAAATAAAAATTCGGAGAAAAATAATAAAACTGTAAATATATTAGTTTAAAATTAGTTTATTAAAATTATTATATTAATTATTTTATTTCAATTTATGTATATAAATTAAATAATAATTAATTAATTATGTGAATTATGTAATTATTAATTATGTAATTAAATAATAATTACTTCATTAAATTTATTTTTTATAAAAAAAGATACCATATTAAACGAAAAACATTATTTCATTTCTAAAAAATTAATAAAAATAATAATATTACATAAACTGTTATAAATTTTTAATTCTTAATAAATAGAGAATAATAAATATTATTTACTTAATAAACCCTGATACACAAGATACAATAACTAAAATTTTCTTTTCAAATAAAATTTTTTAAATTTATATCAATATTATATAGCTGCTATAAAAAATCGAGGTTTTCCTTTAACTAAAATCCTTTCAACATTTCTAGAACTTATTTTAAAAACACCATATGCATTAATAATGAATTATAACCGCTCAGAAACGTACCCAGGAGGATTGAGAGGCTAAGGTGCTAACCCACTCTACCATAACTGTTTAATAAGATAAAATTTTCTTTTTGTGCACTGAAATTACCTGAAACCCCAACATTTTCTAATTATTTTTAATCCAAAATTATGTTTATACAATTTGGATTAAATTTTCAATGACTCCTTATGAGCTTATAATCGGTAGAATTTTTCAGAGTATTTATACATTGAATCAATTGCTAAGCTGCGACAGATGCAACTCTTATTTAAGAGACTTAAGCAACAAACTTGAACGATTTATATGCTTTTTAAATTTTATATTATAATTATATATTATGATTATTTTTTTTTTACCAATATAGACTTTATTTATTCATATTGCAAACATTTTAATGTCATAAAAATTATTTGAACCAGTTATATATATCTTCTGAATAATTTTGGTATTATTTTCTCTTAAAATTTTATACAATATTATTTGATTATATTTCATTTGGCATTATATTGTACATATATATATATATAAAATATATATATATGAATATTATGTATATGTGTGCATATTTTGTTATATTTTATCTGTTATCGTTAACTGCTGCTGCGTCTTTGCCACTTTGCCGCAATCTCAACCGTCCACAGGCAAAACCATGTGAAACTCATTGGGTGTCGTATCATCAATTCGTTTAATTTGACAGGCGCAAACCTAAACATGTCAAAACAACAGCACATAACATGCGGTTTGCGGCACAATGAAACCCAAAAATAAAACACATGAATTACAACAGGCAAGCAAGCATTCATGAGCAGCTCAACAAATGCTGCTAAAGAAGTTAACAAACACTTATAAGTGTACACACACACTCTCGCATGCATACATGCAGTTAAACACGCATCGATATCATTTGGTGACTTTGCCTGCAGTGGTCGAAAACAGTAAGACAAAACACGGCCGGTTTGCGTATTGTTTTAGCTGATTTAGTATTAATTTGGGAACACATTTTTGTTTTTTTTTTTTTGTTTTTAGTTTTTGTTGTTTTACTTTTTAATTGTCTGACTGTCTGACTGCTTATTGGGCTGTCTGCCCGTTCGTTTCACCATGCAACTTTAAGTTATTTTTGGTGTATTTCTTACTGTTCAGTGCTGTCTCCTTATGCTTAGTCAACATTGGCATTTTTGCACTGCAACATTTTAACATTTCTTTCTTTTGTTTTTTATGCTTTTCTTTTGTTTTCGGCGCATTTCCATTGCATGCGCTTTGCCCCTATTGTCTTGTGGCTGCTACTGCCAAAATTTATATGCTTTAATTTCAAAGTCTTAAGGCGTTTCGAATGTTGGCAACATTGTTCTTTTATTCTAAATTCGCCTCAAAACTTTTTAATTCAATTACGGTGCATTTTCCACGCTTGTCAATTATTTTGGGTTTGCAAATTTTATAAAATACATGCTTGCTTGCAACTTGTCGGAAGTCTGTGGTCACATCGCAAACCTGTCAAAACAATAACATTTGATGTTATTTTGAATACCGCTTAAAAATTATGATTGAATAATGAGCGCGTTATTTTAAGGCTAAAGAATAACTCCGCAAAGGTAAATTTTATTTGAAATTCATAAATTAATAATGAATACTCAACAATAAATTAAATAAGAAATACTGTGAAATTAATATGGAAGCTGATCGAATTTATGTAATTTAACACAGAAAATAGATTTTAAATATTTATACAATATATGGAAAGTAAATAATAAAAAAAATTTTTTTATATATACATATAGATACACATAGACATTATTTAAGTGCATCTATAGCATACTTAAGTTGAATGTAATTTGCTTCCGTGCAATTTGTTGCAACAACAAAAGCCATATAAACCTTTTTTCCATAAAAAATGCAACAAGAACTTAACAATGCTGAGTTATTTTATGTATCGCTACTGCTCGTTCGCTGTATGTTGTGTTCTGTTGTATGTTGATCAATAACATAACAAAAACATAATACACAACATGCCACACTCAACAATAAAAAAGAAAACAAGCACAAACATCATCAGAACCAACGGCAGCACCATTTTAAGTCCAAAAGAATTGTTTGAGATACGTATGATGCTTTGCTCCATTATGAAAGACTCGTTTCCTTTACTTTTCTCAAATATTTTTTTACTGATACTAAAGTATTTTTTATGTTTTTTTTATTATTTTCTTTAAAAACATCAATAAGCTAAATGCTACATTCAACGCAGAAGAAGAAAAAAAAAGCTAAGTGTGTAAGCTGAACAAAGTAAAATACTATACCAAACAAAGGCAATAGTAGCAATAAAAACACAACAACAATAACAACAATTCTTATACACGCATAATACAAGTAACCAACTACCAACTACCAATGAACCAACCAACAAATCACATTAAACATTTATTTCAAGAAGTTGTTTGAAGCCAGTTTTGACAACAAGCTTTGAGGAAACTATAAGTGCTCATATTACATACGAGTATATTAGTATATAGTATGTTCCATGCAACAACAACAACAACAATGACAACCGAAAAGAAAATGAAACAAAAATAAAAATATGGCTTGTATGCTCACAAAACTGTGGCAAAGAAAATTACATACAAAATACAAACGCATTTGTATACATGTATGTATAGAAGGTATTTATGTGCATTAACTTGAGCTATGCTGCGCTTTTCCTTAAACTTTAATGGCATTCAATGTAAAAATGTTTATAGTGTACAGCGAGTATTGCGCGTTGCTGTTCTTGTCATTATACTGCTATGTTATCTATGTTCAATAATCATTGTATGCACATACCTATAAGCCTCATACAGGCATGAGGCCACTAACAAAACAAAACCCATAGCTCAACCAACGTGCATGATATTTGAAAGCTTAAGCAGACAATTTAACATGAAAATAATCAAAAAAAAAACAAAATGTATAAAAAAGAGAACAAAAGTAAAAAATTTAATATATATCATGTTAAAGTGATTTGCCAGACGCGAAATAGTGCTTAATTTCTTTTTAACGATTTTACTATGTGTGTAAGTATTAATCTCTTTACTTGCTTGTTTTGTTTTTGTTGTTTTTGTTTTTCTATATACTGCGCATGTGTGTGATTTTGTTAACATTTTGACATAGTTTATCTATCTGGCAACGTTGCGGTATGAATATGACATTTACATAGTTTATGTTGGCATTAAAATGATTTATTATTAATTTTATTTAAAAAATTTTTTATATATTCTTCAAATTTTTTTCTTTTTACTATTTTATTATTTTATATATTTACATGTATATATGTAACGTTGTTTTTAATCATTTAAATGTTATTATTATAATTTATAGCGTTATTTTTCTTGGAAAATAGAAATTTTCTATTGCTATGAAAGTTGGTTGCAGTGACTAAAAAAATTAAACAAAAACTAATTAAAAATAAATTTATTAGTAATTTTTTAGTTTAAATGCATGATTTGCAAATTTGCTGTTATTTTTTATGACTTTGCTAATTTTGTACATTACTTGCAGTATTTTTCAAGGTAAATATTTTGTTCTAGAAATTAACAATAACAACAAAATACTTTCGGGCAGAAGTGATGTATGCTCGGAATTGGTTTGACGCAAGTTTGTTGCTTAAATCTCTTATTTTACAACTCTAAATAATTATTTGCAATAGCTATTTATTTAAAAGGTTATAATTATCAAACAAATATAAATAAATGTACATTAATAACTTTTATTATTTAACGCAACTATAAGAAACCTCATTTAATATTGTTACGGCAATATGACAACATTTGTTAATGGGAGAAATAAAATGTAAATATGAATAAAGTCCAAACAGTTATGAGTAATAACTGTTTATATATTAAATATACACGATATTCAAGTAATAATTATTTTCTAAAATAAAACTTGTAAACACAATCTATGGTCATAAAATATATTGCATTGATGAAGTACGCAAATTATAAGTCAAACAATGAATCTTAAGAAATCTAATCTTCCGTAAATTTTGTTGACTTTAATTAATAAAAATATTTCAAAAAAAAATTATAATTATTTAAATTTAAATTTATTTATATTTTTGTACTATATATACATATATTTATATTTATTCTTACCTGATTTAACAGAACAATGTATGTGCGCACGTGACTTGTAATATACCCAATCGAAACCGCTCTCTACAGCTAAACGTGCTAGCATACCATATTTGCTACGATCACAATCGGATGTTGTGATGTCTACGGCTCGTCCTTCATAATGCAATGAATTATTTTCATGCGAATTATCCTCATCCCAACTTTCAATAACGCGTAATTTTACACCAGGCCATTGGTTCATCACCGACACTGACAAAACATTGAGTTTCTCTTTGCATCGCTGTTGGGAGAAGAAAAAGAATTTAATAATTATTAATATTTTTATTTTTAATCAATAAATATTATATCTATTATGTTTTAAAACTGCTTAATTTTTTCAAATGAATACAAAATTATTGTAAAAGTTTATCAAAATTTATTAAAAATTGAAATCCTACGTTTTAACTGTTAACAATTTAAGATTATTCCTTTTAAGCATATAAATAATTAAGATATATACAAATAATATATATTAAATATATAAATTGTTTAATTAATCTAACATACATAAAATATAAGTCACGCAATTTTGGCAATTCATTAATGGCATTTACGCTTGCTCTATGTATGAAGTTGTGAAGTCACCTAAGTGAAATGACTATAGCCTTGAGAGATATACAGCGCACCCCTTTACACATTATTAAGGCGTGGTAAATTAAAGTTCATTTTCAAAATGAACTTTTTTAAGAATTCGTGTGAAAACTTGCCTAATTTCACAAAATAGTAATAAGTGATATTTAATAATTATTTATAATTAAATTGTGTCAAAATTATGAATACTTTATACTAAGTCAGTAATATATTAAATTTAAAAATAAAATAATTAAAGATGATTAAAGAAAAGTAAAATTTAAAGGAAATTTGAAATGTTTCTCAATACAATATATCTGACAATTATTTTATTATTTATTATTTCAATGGTTTTTTTTATTATAAAATTAAATTTAAGCAACAGTTTTTTAATAACAATAAATAAATAATATTGTAAAATTAATTTTAATTGCAATAAGTTGTAATATAAATAATATTATAATTTTAAATTTAGAAAAATGTTTATTAATGACATTAAAAAAATAAAATATATAATATTGTAAGATTAAATCTAAAAAATTTGCATCAATGACAATTAAAAAAATAAAATATTGTAAAATTAAATTTAAAAAAGTGTTTTTTTTCGCTACAATAAAGAAAGTAAAAGAAATAATATTGCAAAATTAAATTTAAAAAAAATGTTTATTAATTAAAATAAAAAAGTAAAATAAATTTAGTTACTATTTCATTTATTTATTTTTAATATTAATTGATTGTTGCCGCTTCCACTTAATTCTATCAAACTTAATTATTATTTTTTTTATATATAATAGGTTAACTAGTTTAATTACTTTTTAATTTATTTTTATATTATAAAGCTAAATTTAAAAGAATTGTTTATAATCTATAATGAAAAGTTAAATCAAAAAAAAAATTTTACTAACTCATTAATTAATTATTAAACTTAATTAATGTATATATATATATATAAGCAAATGCAAAATATTTTGTTTTCCATTATGTTTTATTAAACTTAATTAATTTTTTATTTATATATATATTTATAAGCAAATGTAAAATATTTTGTTTTCAATTATGTTTTATTAAACTTAATTAATTTTTTATTTATATATACATATATATATATATATATATATATAAGCAAATGCAAAATATTGTGTTTTCCATTATGTTTTATTAAACTTAATTAATTTTTTATTAATTTTTTATATATTTATAAGCAAATGTAAAATATTTTGTTTTCAATTATATTTTATTAAACTTAATTAATTTTTTATTTATATATATATTTATAAGCAAATGAAAAATAAATTGTTTTCAATTATGTTTGCGTACAATTTATAACAATAGTCAATGGAAAATCCTTTGAACCTGTTGCGCGCCTGGCAAACAACTAAAGAAAATATTCAAAAATATCGAATAAATAGAAAAAAATCCTTAGCATTTATTTTTTAACTCACTTATTTTTATTTTGGATGATTAAAAAAAAATAACAAGAACCTTTCTTCCTGTACCAGCAATGTGCCTGGGCAGCGTTTTGCTTGATTGCGAATGGCCAAAAGCAAATATTGGTCCAACGTTTTTGGTAAAATATATACAAACTCATGTTAACAAATAAACATTAAAAGATTCAATTGATTCCTTCTTTCTTACTTATTTTTGGATTTATTTGAAGCTGCGGTGGGTGCAGGTCTTAATGATCATAGATGCAATGTACGTTGCTGTTATCAGAAAAATTTTATGTTAAAAAAAGGATTCAAAGAGTTTTCAGCCGCACTTAGTAAACAACAGAGCGTAACTATAAGTGCAGTTTAAATAAGAAAAAATAAATTTCAACTAATATTTTTTTTTAAAAATGTCTTTACACAAAAATTGTACTAAGCTACGCAGGAAATTTCTATTTACAGACCACAAAATCGATTATCAACGCCATCAATTTTGCATTTTATTTTTGGTTACTAAATAAAAGACACGCAGCCCGTATTTCTATCTGAACAATGCAACAGATACTTATCCTGTGGCTAGTTAAGCAATTCTACCTAAGCAATTTTGCTTTTTATTGTTGCTGCCTTTCCCTAGTAGCCGGGCCTTGGCTATACTTGGCCAATATTTTGCATCCTGGCATGTGTGCTGCTACAATTACTTGTTTGGTTTTTGTGGTGTTTATAAATATTTTGGCTGATTTTTGTTGGCGTGGATAAAACCGTAAAATCGATTAGTTATCCTTTTTGTAATTCTAACAAATTTTTGTATTTACGTTTAGATACTTTTTTGGTTAAATTTTTAATTTGTGGCTTTGACATTCGCACTGCTCTCAGGCTTTGCTCTACTCTGTTACGCACTGCTTGGGGCTATTATTTTTTGGGCGTGGCGTGAAAAACACAATTTCAAAATTTCACAATTTAACAATTTTAAACATTTAAAACTTAACAACTTTACAATTTTATTACGTATATTCAGTGCTGTTTTCACATTGGAATATATACGTAAATATTTGTAGGGACTTTATATTTGTCACAGTTCATGGGTTTTTGTTTGTACCTCACTGAATTTGGGTTAATGTATTGAATTTGTATTGTGTGTCAAATGTTTTGTCACAAAGTGTTTAAAATTGATTTCTTGTGGGCTTTACGTTTGTTTAATTTACTTTTTAATTTACTTTATTTTTACCATATTTATTACCTTTTCCAAGAATGTAATTTATATATGGTTTAATATAGTACTAGAT